AGGAGTAGGAGTAGGAGCAGCAGCCGCAGCCTCGACAGCAAAGAGGAGGAGGAGGAGTAGTAGAAGAGTAGCAGGCGTTGTGGGCGCTGTCGGTGTTGTAGGCGTCGCAGGAGTTGTCGGAGTTGTAGGAGTCGAAACAATAGACTATCATACATGACGGTTCTACAGGAGCGGGTAAGCGCCGGCGCTTGACATCGCCCTCCAGGCTCTGCACCAAGGGCACTATTGGTTGCGTGTTTTTGGACTTCCGGGAGATTTTTAAAGTTGCCGTTGCGGCTCTCGTTCTTGTTTCTTGTTGTTCTTTTGGTTGTGGTTCCTAATGCTTCTCTTGCTTTGCTGCTATCATCGTGAATTAGGGTCGCAGCTGATTGAAGGAAGCGAAGCTTGTCCTTTGTGTTTGAGCTGGGCTTTCAGGCACAGCTGGAATCCCTTTGGCAAAGACAAGCACGCGACGTCACAGCAGAGCATCGGTGGGTCAGCCAGGACCTAAAAAATCGCTTCGGTGTCCGAGTCCTTGAGTCACCCTAAGCTGTAAACCCTAAACCCTAAACCGAATCAGAACCGAATCGGGTTCCCAACCGAGGTCTACACGGTGCGGGTCGACAACTCCTACGCCGTCCACCTGGCAGGTGCGAAGCTGCCTCAGCCGACGCCGCTGCCCGTATTTCCCGCCCCGATTGCGCCCGGGACCTCAGGATACGCGTAAGTCCAGGTGCAAGTTCGGGACTGAAGCTGTCCTCTTCAAGGCTCCAGGTCAACGATGCCCTGGTGGTGCCTTCGGATCAGGATGCGACCTGGCCACTGGCGGGACTGGCCCTGCAAGCCCAGCCCGATTTTCCCTTGCCAACTCCGCCCTTCTGTTTTTTTTTACTTCCTGGACGGGCCAGGTTGTCTGACCAGACCGGCTCTACACTCAAACACCTCGGTGCTGGGCAGCGGCCTCAATTGCCGCTGGTCGGGTGCGGACCTCTGCTCCTGTTGCCTGAAGGCCCCTGCTCCTGAATTTCAGCCAGGAGAACGATGGCCTGGACCCGAGCACACGACAATATACTCCGCCTGAACGAAGCATGGAGGCCTCGAGTTGGCCTTCTCCTCGATCATCCAGGCTCGAAAGGGCTTGTTCTTCTTGTCATCGTCGTTTGTCATTACGACAAAATCATGGACCCTTCCCCTTCTGGGGACGTCTTTGCTGCAGGCCCGTGAGATTCGCATCATCGGCGCGAAGCACATCACTCTCCGTCAGAATGCCGCCATCGATGCCTCCGCCCGCAACTTGGTTTCTCAACTTGCTGCTTTCAAGCGACAGTGCCACTGGGCAGAGCTGCTTCTTCTCCTGGTTTCCCCTCTTGCTGTTCTGGCTGCCTCTAGCGCTGCTGCTACAACTGGCACTGCGGCCACTGCTGCACTTTGTCGTCATCACTTGCTGTCGGTCATTCGTGCTATCGTGATATCAGTATCACTCCCACGGCAGTACCATGATCAGTGTCATCAGCGGACGATTACTAGTGTTCCTCGTCATCAGCGGCATGTTTATCCTTAAAGCAGCACCAGTACATCAGGAGTATTCTCGTCATTGCCGTTATCACTACTGCGTATGCATTTGTTCCATCATCACACTTCCGTTGGATTTGCTATCCTTGCTATGATGATTGCGATTCTCTGGTCTGTGTTTACTCTCGCTTCGCGGCGAGGTGGCTTCGCTCGAGGCATCGGAGGAAATCAACGCTCACCAGGGGGCGCCGGGCTTCCAAGCTGAGGGTTTAACATTGTTGCTTAGTAAAAGCCCGACATTCAATTCTAATTTTCAAGCGCTCTATACATTCCTAGACGGTCAGGGACAGGCAATTGCGCCGTGTGGTGCGCGGCTGTCATTACTACTGTTATTACTGTTGTTGTTCGTTGCTAGTATTGCTTGTATAGCTATTATCATTATCATGAATAATACTTTTATTATTATTTATCATTATTACTATTATTACTACTATTACTATTGGTATCACCATCATCATGATTATTGTTATTATTCTTACTAGTATTACCCAGAGAATTACTATCATTGTTATTCCTCTTGTGGCTACCATTCTTTTTATTAGTACTACTATGATGGTGCCAATGATCATATGATTGCAAACCTTAAACCCTAAACCTAAACCCTAAACCCCTAAACCCTAAAGCCTAAACCCTAAACCCTAAACCCTAAACCCTAAACCCTGCAGGCTCGGACAAGGGGAAGGGATCTTCAGCCTCCGAGCCCAGAGGGTCCTGCTCGGCAGTGGGCGGCTCCGTGCGGCCTCCATCGTCGTGGAGCAGGAGCTTCCCAGTTGATGCGTTTTGGGGATGTTTTAGGGTTTAGGGTTTAGGGTTCCCAGTTGATGCGTTTTGAGGATGTTTTAGGGTTTAGGGTTTAGGGATGAGGATCAGGGCATTAGGGTTTAGTGTCCTGTCGTTCGCAGTTTCCGACATGTTCAATGATGATGAAGTTTGAGACGGAGAGACCCTAAGTCCTAAGCCCCTAAGCCCTAAATTTTACCCTAAACCGTAAGCATCCGCTCGTAAAGGACCTTGTCTTGAAGCGTGGAAGCCGGCTGCAGGCACCGACATGTTCGCAGATCCCGGGCGCAAGGACCCCTTCCTTGCTCTCGTCATGTGATACACTGGAGCTATTGTGCAGTAGTAGTAGTAGTAGTAGTAGTAGTAGTAGTGCAGATGTAAGTGCTTGAATCCGGAGGTGCAGGGCTATTGGAGTGCAACGAAACTTGAGTGGACGCTTACTCATCTGCCCTAAATATGGGCATCGAAACACTTTCCCGTTGCTTGTGCGACAGTCAAGCCAGCGGCGTTGCGACCAGTTGCCCACCGCACTGTGCGGAGCTGAGTGGTCTTTTTAGGCTCTTTGGTGCTGCGCTGGGACCCTTGGGTTGCTGGATGTTGGGGGACTCTGCAAGTTCATGCACGTCCCTGCCTGCGAAACCATGGAAAGTCTGGTGTTGATGCTTTCCAACGTCGCGTTGTCATCTAGAGTGCATTGAAGTTAGTCAGAGTAAGGACAGATCCCTGTGGCACGCTCTTGGCAGCGCCTTTCCAGAACCAGACGCTTGCAGACAATGTCAGCTTCGACATCGTGCTTGCCAGCAGGCTCGGCCGATTCCTGCTTAGCTCTGGTATGAGTACTATCAGACTATCAGTAGTATTGTTATTTCAGCATCAAGCATCACTACTATTACTACTACTGCTACTACTACTACTACTACTACTACTACTGCTGCTGTGACTATGATTATTGGTATCACCATCATTACTATCAGTCTTGAAGCCTGAACCCAACGCCTGTGCACTCCAGGCAAGGCAGCATTGTGGTGGAGGAGGATGCCGAAATGTATGTGCGACACTCTGCGCTTGGCTGTCCATGCAAGTCGCTCTGACGGGCTGGAGTGAGGCTGGCGCCTTCCTCCTGTGTGGCACCTCGAACATCAGCGTGCCTCGGCAGCTTTCCATCTGAGAGCGTGCGCAGCTCCTTTTGGGATGGTTAGCTCCGGCCGCGACTCGACTTAAACTGCGGAAGCTGAGCACCGCTGATCCTTCCTCCTTTCTGCTCCGAGTCCGAGGTGCGGGGCCTGGTCAGTGCGCACGGCCTGGGCTGTGCCCCCAACCGTGGGGAGGGCTTCGGCGCGGCACCGCAGGTGGGAGCCGAAGACTGCCGAAGGGTAGACTCTGGTAGGCCAGAGGCTTCAGAACTGAAGTCTTCTCCTTCCCCTCGTGCTTTCTCTGACTTCAGTCGTGGGGTGCACCGTGTCACAGAAGCCTACCGATCAGTGGTAATAAGAACGGAAGCGGTATCAATGGGCAGACTAGTCAAAACAACACCGGCAAGGAACATCTTCATAAGATAGAATAGTGATGCTCAGTTTGTCCTGTCCAAGAACTGCAGATCATAGCCGAAATATGTAGCGACGACATACCACAAGACTGGCACCACTCATCAACAACAAAATCACAATCATGACACTACAGTGCTTAGCAATGAAGACAAAGCTCGGAACAAGTACCAAACTTGCGAGAGGAACGCACACAGCGATTGCGCCTCGAGCTCAGAGCAGGGACACGCCACATCTGTGCCAGAGAGTATTCGCGCCACGTAAGTAGGCTGCGAAGTGGGGGTCCGAGAGAAGTGTTTTGATTATAGCAGTGATGTTATTTGCGGTTAGCACGACCATGATTACCTGCACCGCAACCCCGAGCCCCAAAGCTCTCGAGGTGCAGAGGGCGTCTGCGGAGGGGGAGGTGGAGGTCACTGTGGCAACGGCGGTGACGGCGTGAGCAACAAAACGGGGAAGCGCTGTTCGGGAACGGGAGGCATGGCACTTTTTACAGGGTGCTACCGCAAGTACTCCGGGTTTTTTTGAGGGCTTGTGAGGGTTTTGATGTAAGCCAGGAGCCAAAGGGTTCTTGAGCAGGTTTTAATTGGTTGTGCTCAGACATTCGCACTTATGGTGGGTCTAAAATCAGCATGGCCTGTGGGCGTTTTGTCATTTGAGCGAGTGAGGGGCCCGGGACAGGCTTGAAGTACGATGGCTGGTGGACGTCTGAAGTCGCGGGTATCTCAGAGCGTTTTTGGCACTGAGCCTGCCAGTGCGAAATCATGTGCTGTGCTGCCCTTGGTGGCGTTAGCAGTAAGCTGTGATGCTGCAGAGCTTGGATAGTACACTCAACCCTAGACCCAGAGTAACCCTTGTGAGAATCATCATAGAACAGCCCCCCCCTCTCCTTTTTTGGTGGCCGTCTTCGGAGCCCTACAGCTCCCCTAAGACCCTCGAAGCCTGAAGGCCCCCCAGGCGATGCCATCAACCTTAAGCCCCCCCCAAAAAAGCCGTAATCCTAAAGAGCCCAAAAGCTCCAAGAGACAGAAGACCGTGCACCCCATGCACCCCCAACGAAGAGGTTCGGGGTTTACGGGTTGAAGGGTTTTATGGTTTAGGAGATTTAGGGTTCATGGGTTTAGGGGACTTTTCCCCTGCAGCTTAGCGATCGAAGCCTGGAAGTCCCGAGGCCCGAAGTGCTAAGCCTTCGAGACTTCCGAGCTGGTCTGCAAGCGGTGGGGGCCGTTGCTGGCATGGGTTTGGGCTTAGGGGTTTGGGGTTTAGGGTTTAGGGTGTAAGGGCTAGGGTTTAGCAATCCCCCAGAAAGCTGTATGGGGAGCTAGTTTAGGTTTGTGTTATGAAGAGCTGCTTCAGGTTTCGGGTTTCAGGGTTGACTGGCTGAGGTTGTGTTTCGTCTATGGGAGTTCATGCCTGCGCAGGTTCAGGGTTACTTGAGTCTTAAGCGAGTAGCTGGCTTCCGTCACATCTCATTCATACATCATAAGTCTTCGTACAGGGCCTTCGCTCGAACAGGTTTCCCACAACCGAGAATCCTGAACTGCCAATCAGAATCCTAAATACGAATTACGCTACTCCCACAGCCGCCGGCTGCAACCCTTTCGATTCGCAAACTGCGCAGGTCTAGGCTGGAACGGAACTCCCGAAGCTTCAATTAACGCCCGGAAGAGTATGGAGTTCCCAGCGTCATCCAGCCGCCTCGAAGCCCTGAGGCGGTGGTGGAAACACTGCCGGGGCCGGCGGAGGGATCATCTGGATCCGGGCAGCTGCAGTGACCTCAGCTGGTCTACTGACTTGCGGTCTTTTCGTCCTAGGGTCCCAAAGCCTTCAATGGAGGCGTTCGAGCCCTTCTGTGAGTGTACGAAAGCAGTCGAGCGCTTCCCTTGCTGGAGCATGCAATGCACCATCCCATCAGTACTGTAGCTTGGATATTCAGGGTTGGATTGTCTCTGTAGTCTGTTATTACGTTATGATTGTTAGATGGCGCCAGCCCACCATGAGGTGCTGGAGATGCCATCCAACAGTACCAGCATCTCCGCCAGTGGGGAGGCCTCCTTGCCCAGCATCTTCACTTCAGGAGAACATTCTCGAATCCTTCGAACGGATTTATCCTGAACCTTAGGCCCTAGACGGCAATCCCTAAGCACCAAACCCTACACCCCAAACCCTGCGATTCTTGGAGCCTTTGTCAGGATGCACCCTCCCGGGCTGACGGAGGCCACGAGGGTTCCGGCGGTGGCGCCGGTGGCACCGTGCGGACCCCGCACACAGAAGGGAAGGATCATGACTGATCCCAGCATTCAGGCTCCAACCAGCTTTCCATGAAGCCAACAGTAATGAAGTATGCAGGATGCCATTTCTCGCGAAGTTGTGATCAAAGTCTTGCCGGACATGAGGTCATCATCAATGCAACGGTCATCAATGGCAGTGGCATGATCAAGGCTTGTGAGGCCGGTGCCTGTGGAATGGCTCAACCGGCCCTTTCGCAGGCAGCTGGCGGCAGAGGAGGTGGCTGCGTAGGCCGGACGATTTCACGCTGAGGTCGTGTAGAATGAGTATGCAAGACCCCAAACCCTACTGACCAGACCCTATCCCCAACCCAAGCCCTTAAAACCCGTAATTCTTAAACTTTCAATTTCGGGAAGCAGCTTTGCTTTGTAGGAGGTGGTGGTGGTGGCGGAGCCATCGGCAGTGCCGGCCCGAATGCCTCCGAGGCAGCTGGGCGTCATAGCCAGAGCTCGAAAGGGAGCTCCTGAGCTCCTGAAGTCCTCAAGTTAAGGCATTGTCTCCCCCCCTCTACCTCGCTCTCGCTCTCGCTCTCGCTCCCGCTCTCGCTCTCGCTCTCGCTCTCGCTCTCGCTCTCGCTCTCGCTCTCGCTCCCGCTCCCGCTCCCGCTCTCGCTCTCGCTCTCGCTCTCGCTCGCTCTCTCTCTCTCTCTCTCTCTCTCTCGCTCTCTCTCTCTCTTGATACAACGTTCTACAGAGAAGATTCTTGGCACTAGATTTACATACGCATTTACTGCGCTTCTGCATCGGGGCCTTCAGACCGGTGGCAGAGGCTTGGGCAGCCTTCACCGGCAGCCTGGATGTCCAGGGGGGCAGCGGCGACGTGTCACTGTCCTGTGGCCGCCTGGTGGGCGAGAGGGGCTGTGCTGGAGAATCATGGCCGAACAAAAAAAGGCTTTAGATGTTTTCCGGTCCTCGTGTCGTGGTCGTCTTGCTATGGTGGTGTCGTGGTCGTGTCATGGGTGTGGTCGCGTCATGGTGGTGGTCGTCATCGTAGGTAGCAGTAATCAAGAAGCGACAGTAAGAGCAACTACGACAGCGAGCTTATGTGCAGAAACAAAAGTAATCGTGTGTGGCTTATCTGTTCACCGCCACCACGCCTTGTGATCCAAGCAGGACAGCTATGGAATGAAGACAAGAGTCGTCATGGTCATCGTCATCGTCATCGTCGTCATCATCATCACCGCCATCACAAGAAGAGAAATAACGGCATATATGAAGATGTCACCGGATCATGTCCGAGGAAGTGCGAAACCACCGTGTGTCAGAGGTTTTTCGGACTTCCTCCAACCTAGAATTAGCATTCGCTTGATTGGCCCAGCCCCGGAGAATTACAAACCTAACCCCTTGAGAACTGCTTGTGTAAGATTCGCTGAGGAGCTACTGCAACTGGGAGTCGGACACTTGGGGACCCGCAAGACTGCATGAACCATCGGAGTAGTCTCATGCATATGTGTGTATGTGCATCTGCTGCGCTGATAGATGCACACATGTCTATGTGTCAGCCAGTTATGTACGCGTAACGTGCTCATCAATCTCTCCATGCTAGCAGCCTACCTACAAAATGCTTTCTGTCTGCCTGGCTGCCTTCCCGCCCTGAGACCAGGTTTGCCGTCCCGGCCATGCCGGCATCTACTGTGCCGAGTGCTCGGCAGGTACCTACAACCCGCGGGAAGCCAAGTACTCCGAGTCCGAAGCAATTAGCGAGCAAAAGAGTCGTAGGCTCAGTATGGAGACTGCAAGGCCACAGGCGCCAGAGAACCTTACGGCTTTGCCTGGCCCTTGATCGGCTCACAGTTGCCTTCACCTGCTGGCGACCCGTGCAACTCAGGTTTCGCATGTGCCTGCCATGCAAGAACAAGCCGACCCAGGGCTACTACACAACCACAGGCTGGCTCAACGAATCTTGGACCTGATGAGGGGGTGGGTGGGCTTTGGGAGGATTACTTCTAAATTGCAAAGAGCTGTCTGCGAGTCAGAGCTCAGGAGTCTTGCCCCTACGCCTGCCCGTCTGGCTTCCCTCCCGTGGAGGTGAATCCGGACTGCTGGGTCCCTACTCGGATGAGAGGGTGCTTCGACGTTGCACGACGACGAACGACCGCGCCTGCTGCCACTAGCCGATGAGCGCCACTACCGTTACTACTGCTGCTGCATGCTGCTGCTGTACGGCGGTCGTTACTGGCTCTGATGCTGCTGCTGCTGTTACTACACTATTACCTCACGGTTAAGAAGACTCTAAGCTGAAGAAAAGAAATGGTTCATGGCAGTTATGCTTATGGCACAGTCATGATCACACTTGTATATCAACTTGATTTCGTGTGTTGTCATGTCCCCTTGCTTTCTTGCACTACGATGTGGCATAACGACACATGTTTTGGATGCCATGTGGTGCAATGTGGTGCACTAAATTTCTAAGCATACATACAAGCTCACAAATATATGCGGCAGTGCAGACAGACGGATACACATACAGGCATGCATACATACATACATACATACATTCGTGCGTGCATGCGCGCATATATACAACATCGGAACATAAATAAGTCTTCAGTCAGGTCGGCCGCAAAGGCTTCCACCTCTTGTTTTGCTCAGATGACCTGTGTTCTTATAACAGCTGGGGTGCAGGAATCCCAAAAACACTCAAGTTAAGCAATGCTCTTCGTCTTAAAGAGGTGATGATCCCTGGAGCTACTACTTCGCCTTCTTCGGCGGTGCTCGGACCTTACGGTTCCCGGGACACCGTCAAAATTTCCCGGCTGGGCAAGCTTGGTCTAAGCCGAGGTTTGGGGCGTCGTAGTCTTGATCCTGCTGATGGCGGTGAGCTTCGGCCTCCTCATCTCCGCGAAGCGGGTCCAGACGCGGCGACGCTTGCAGTGGCTGCAGAAGCAGAGGCACACGGGACGCCAATTCCTTGGTGTGGAGCTGAGGACGGGCCGGTGGGTCTCAAGGTCTGCCATGTGTGAAACATGGCACCTCTAAGGGATGAACGACGAAGCCATGTTGCTGTTCGAGTCCTTGCGGGGGAGGCTAGGGCAGTGGAGTTCGAAGAGATGTTGTCCTCCGTGAGACACCTTGTATAGGCACCCCCTTGCGGATCTTGACATTGGTGGAGATGGTGCTGTCCATGCGGCTGCCGCCTCAGTCTTCGCATGTCTGTTGTCGTGGTCTTGTTCTTCGTCTTCTCCCAGAATGTCGACGCCGTGAATAGCCTCCGCAGCCGAACTGTGGGCGAATCGCGACCGTGCGAAGCCCAAAATCCACGAGCGAAAGTCCTGCATCATGATCTGTGATGACTGCGTCTTTCAGTGTTTGTGGTTGTGTGAACTTACTGCCCATCTCCGAGGAGATGGTTTCTGGGCTATGCAGGGGGGCCCAGCGTTCTGGGTACAGGCTTGTTTGACACCCCGTGCACCATGAGGTCGCGAGCATCTGGCGGAAGATTCGCCAGCGCAACCGCCGAGGCTCTGACATGAAGGAGGCAAGGCCAAAAAAGAAGTCTCAAGTATATATATATATATATATATGTATATAGATATGTCTATGTATATATATATATATATATATACTATCCACACGGTTTGGCTCGGGATTTGCATGCGGCAATGCCCCTGGCGGAGTCTACCAGTCTACCTGTCAAAGGCACACTTGCTGAACGTCGGCGATTTGTACGCCGCTTAGATGTTGGAGGTTGCCAACCCAGCAGCACTGAGACCCCTAGGGGTTGAATCTCCTGACCGAGGCCTCATCACACCCAGCGCATCTACCTGCAGGGAGAGAACTCTCCAAGGGATCCCTGGCGGCTCTCGGCCCAACCTCCCGAGGACCTCACCTTGCCTCATCCTAGCCGCCTTTGTCTGCTCCCGGGGTGTTTGGACGTCCCTGGGCCTTCGCTGAGCTGGGGTCACATGTCTTCATTCCGAGTTTGAGCCCGGGTGACGGGCCGTTCAGTGGCTTGCCAGATTTATGAGCTCTGAGGGGAGAGCTGTCACAGCGCAATGCTGCGACGCCCTGCTCTGCGGGACCCTCTCAGCCAACGTTTTATCCAGGAGCTACGCAGTCTGGTGGACGAGAACCGCGATGCACTCGGTGTTCAGTCAGTTGATGTCTAGATCTGGCCCAGATGTGAAGAGCACTTGGAGGGGCAGAAGTTTTGTGGCTGAGGATGGGCAGACTTCGCCGCGCAGGTGAATGTCAGATGTTTTGTAAGGACCGTTGCCCAGCCTAGCAAGATCATGGCAGAAGCGTCTGAGCTTTCTGTTCAGCACCAGATCGTTGCCCGTGCAACTGATAGTGTCCTCGAAACTCAGGCACCAATACAGGGGCCTTAATAATCAGAATAGGGCTTTGGGGCCCATTATACTACAAATATAAGGAGGAACCCCCCAAAACAGTATTCGTAATTATTGAGGCCCCTATATTCCCTGGGATGTCTTCCAAGATGCGAACGGCCCCTGGGGAGGATGCGATCCCAGCTGATGGCGGAGGGCGTCCTGAGGTGGTTGTATCTCCCTGTCGCCGAGTGACCGGCCCACGAGAGAGAGTTTAGGGTTTAGGGTTTTCAAATTAAATGGTCTTGAAGCTAGTGCACCGGTCAGCATCTTTCATCTAGCATTGCACAATATTGAGCTCTTCCTTTGCTTGCTTTGCAACTTTATCGATTGTTATAGCAGCCGGGACATCTGGTTTATGAAGGCAGCAGCATTCAATGTGATATGGTTGGAGATCGTGAATCGATCCTTTATGGATTCAGAAGCGCAGTGAATGAGGTTTGGAAGCCTGCAAACACAAGTGCATACCGAAGGGATAGTAAACTTTGTGAGCTTCGGTTTGTGCTGCCAGCGATACATGCTTTCTGCCGTCAGGTACATCCGGTGGCACCTTCGATTCTCCAGAGCCGCAGATGTTGCAGCATACGTGTGGTCGCTAAGTGCCTCGTCTGAACCGCACAGGCTTCAATTGCTAAGCTGACGGGTGGAACTCCGAGACTTGGTTGAGAGTGACATGCAGCGGACAAGGCAATGCCCTGTAGTAGGAGCAGCAGCAGGGCTCCCAAAACAACACCACCACGACCAGCAGCAGCAGCAGCAGCAGCAGCAGCAGCAGCAGCAGCAGCAGCAGCAGCAGCAGCAGCTGCGGCAGTAGCAGTAGCAGTAGCAGTAAGTAGCAGCGACAGCAACAAAGTACTGCCACCGCCACTGCTGCCAACACCGCCACCGCCACTGCCTCCGCCCGCCACCCCCTGCCGCTGCCACTGCTGCCACGCCACCGCCACCACCATCGCCACCTCCACCACCAATCACCCGACCATCGCGCCACTACTAACTGCTCGTGGTGGTGTTGGCGTTGCTGGTGGTGGTCGTGGACTATTCTACAATTGTTCTTGGCTATACTTGTTTCGGATCTGCAGGTCGCATCGAAGGCTTCTTCGAAGCTGGACCCACAATCTGAACCGCCCTGACCTCGCGGAGCCTGCAACCCCAAAGCTGCAAAACATCGAGTGAGACAAACATTTCGAAGCTGTGATGGGCTTAATAACTACCAATACTATCTTAGGGGCTCCTTATTATACTTACAGTGTAGTATACCCCAATTGCATGATAGGAGTCAGGACCTCATAAGGGCCTCACGGTCTTAAAGAGCCGAAACCCTGAAACCCGAAACTCTGGACTTGATGATGTGGGGGTTTCCGAAAATAGGGGACCCTAATATAGTACCCTAAATAGTAGGATCCTTATTATAAGGACCCCAGAATAGGGTACCCCTTATTTTCAGAAACTACCATGTTCCACGGGCCCCGACCAGCTGACTCATCCTAGCAGAGGAACTTCGCATACGTATGCAGTGAGAATAGCAGCAAGAAAGATCCTAAAACCTAAATCCTAGAACCTAAATCCTAAAACCTGAATCCTAAAACCTCAATGCTAAACCCTAAACCCTAAGATGCCCTAAAACCAACACCGCGTTTCCAAGCGCCTTCTGCAGAGATTCTCCAGGCGAGGCGACGGGTGCGCAAGGAACTCTTTGGTCCCTGAGCCGGGGTCTGAAACTGGCGGATTGTTTGGGTTTAGGGTTTAGGGTCTAGGGTTTAGGGTTTAGGGTTTAGGATTTAGGGTTTAGGGTTTAGGGTTTAGGGTTTAGGGTTTAGGGTTTCGGGTTTAGGGTTTAGGGTTAGGAATTCGGGAACTCAGGGGCTTAACGTTTGGGGTTTAGGGCCCTCGAGACAGCAGCGGGGGCAGCGTCTCAATTTAGTAATGGTGGTTCTATATTTCCCACGTTGAGACGATGGGAGTTGAGACCAGAAATTAGCTCACTTCGTCGCTTCTGACCTACACCTGCAAGGCTGCTATGAACACATACCCTTTCTTGGGGGTAATTCGCAGGTTCAGAACATGTCTCGCTAACCTGCTGCAGCACTCTTCTGGTGACGCGCTCTGTGGTTCAGAGCAGAGCCAACGCTTCCTGCAGGTCTCGATACGAAACTCCGAGCCCCAAACCCGAAAGCCTTCAGCCTTGATGTTCTTCGCTGTGATTCTGGGCATGATCGGTGTCACCACTACGATGATGTCGGCTTCGGAAGGGTTTAGGCACAGGCTTCCAGTGATTCGGGATATGGATCGAGGGGTTGAGGATTTGACGGCTTGAGGGTTTCGAGCTTCAAGGTCTTGCGGTAGCTTCCTCAGACGACAATGTAGGACTTTAGTAGGGAAAGCCTGTCCGCATATGCTGAGCCTGCCCAGACTCCAGTCGAGGTATCCCAAATCCAAGTCGCTACGGCTTGAAATTCGGCCAGCGGCCCAGATTGCAGGGGTTTAGGGGTACTTTGGAGGTTGCGATGGTACCATGAAGATAAGCGTTACTACGAGGGGTAGCACCGGGATTTCTATAAGCGGACGTTCGGCGAACGTGTCGGATCAGGGTCCACCCTCCACAGCTGAGTCCATGTGATGTTCGTATCACTGGGAACGTGACGGATGTTGTGGGTGACCGTCCTTTGTCCCAACGGCTTCGAAACGATCTACATAAGTGAGTGAAGGGTATGGGGTGTGTGAGTGTAGCCGAAACGGGCTTCTCTGCCTTCCTGCAAAGGATCTCTAGCGCGCAGGAGTTGTGCTGTTGGAAGAGAGGCGCTTAACAAAGACCCAAGCCCACAACTTTTAACAACCCTAAACCCCTAAGCCATGAATCCCGATCCCTAAACCCTCAATTCTCAACCCTAAACCCTAAACCCTAAACCCCGCGACCCAAACACAGGCCCTAAGTCCTTGAAGGAACCCTTAAGCCCGTTCTTGTAAAGAAGGCCTGAGCTTGAGGTACAGACCGAGAGATGACTCTCGCCTACGTGGATGTCTTAGATTACTCCAAGACCCTCGAGGACTCTTTTGGGGTTCGTTTGAGCATTCCAGAAAGGCTCTTTTAGGCTTCCTTTGAGGGTTCCTTTGGGCTTCTTTAAGCATTTACGGGTTCCTTGATGCTCCTTCAAGGTTCCGATTCCTTCAAGGGTTCCTGTAAGGGTTCCAGTCAGGGTGCCTGTAAGGATTCCTTGAAGGCTTCCTTCGAGCAGTGTTTGGAAGGGTTCCTTTCAAACTTCATACAAGGAGAACTCGAGGACCATTGTAGGGTTCAGGGTTGAGGGTTATTCGGGTGCAGGGTTTAGGGTATTTCGAAGGATACGCTTCAGCGCTTCTATGCAGGGTGTTTAGGGAAGGGTTTGGGTACGTTTCAGGGTTTCTGAATTGGGGGGTTCAAGGTTTAGGGTTTCGGGGTTGACGTTGAGGGTTTGGGGTTCGGGGTGGAGGGTAAAGGGCTCGTTGTAGGGTTAGGTTTGGGATTTCTAGGGAGTCTCCGGAAATCAGCATCGTCTTTTCCTCAGCGATGGCGAGCCGATCCGCTCTTCAAGCGCATCTGGTTTTTCTTAATGCTGTGCGACCGTTTTGTGTGAGGGTAATGCAGCTTCCGACGTCAAGCCTCAAAGCTACTTCCTTTCTTATCTCCGGTATATCAAGGCGCTTGCCATTGTTGTTGTCGTTGTCCCTTTACCTTGATGCTTGCCATGAGATTTGTATGATCTGTTGCGATTACCGTTGCGAGCATCACTCTCCCCTAAAACCCTAGACCCTAAATCGCAACCATCGGCGTGGTTAAAGTAAATATAATGACTGCTCCTCTGAGGACTTGAACCATAAACCCTAGACCCGAAAACCTAAACCCGACATGGATAGCTAGGTGTAGGTGGTTGAATCCCGGCCTGCTGTATGTGCCAGGTCCTGTTCCCATGCCTCCACCAACATGGTATTCCGGACTCCTTATCAGGCGAAGGAAAAGAGGTGATAAAAAAAAACCTAAACCCGAAACCCTGACTCATCGTGATCTGTCTGCCACCCCAAAAGGACTGGGCCATCAAGCCCGATTTGCCCATGGTGATCACGGTCGCTGGGGATGGGGAATACACGGCCCCGCTCGGGGCTTAGATCCCTACTCCCCCTAGCTAGGTATGTTATGGTACATCATGGCATCATTCTTCTGTATCTCGTATTCTATAGCATATCATAAAGAGTGTATGAGAGTCTTGAGCACCGAATCCACAAACATTGCTAAACCCTTCAACCTCGAACGCTGAATTCAGGCAGTAAGTTGTTGAGTTCCTGCATTTCCACCCTGTCAACTAGGGAATGAAAACTTCTGGACAAAACAGTGCGGACCAACAGTTTGAGAGCACCTTTGCAGCGGTACCATAGGTACCACTTGGACTACGCAGATCCTTTCGTGCAGTCTGTGGGCCAATATCTGGGACGCCGGATTTGGCACCAGGCCAGCAACTCAGCCACGGGTATCGGGGGGTAACATGTATGTCAAAGCATGTTGCCTTCCTCATTCTTTCATGGATGCCGCAGTTTGTAAGCCACATCAGAACTCGCCCTAGGTCATAAGCATCTAAGGCTGACCGTTCAAAACTTTAAGCCGGGACTGCTGCCCAAGCATGCTGAGTCAGAGGTACTTCTGCCTTTCAACCTCCTGGCGCGGCTTCTGCCGCCAAATCCCACGGAAGAGGAGCTTGGGGGTGGTTTGATCTTCGAGTTGCAGGGCATGGTCTGTTCTGGAGATGTAGAGATGGATGGCTGGATGGAGGGATGGGTGGATGGATGGAAAGATGGGTAGGCAGGTCGGGTAGGTAGGATGTGTATGTGTAAAGTTATCTGCGTATGTATATGCATATATGTGCATGTATGCATACATGTGTATGTGTGTAAATGCCCAGTGGTGTGCATGTTCGCCTGGCTGGCTAGCTGGCTGGCTAGCTAGCTACCTAAGTTACCAGTTTTTGTGTGGGTACGTAGAAACACAGATAGACGGACCGAGAGGTGTCCGTGACGACATCGACATGCTACGAGGAAGTGACGTAGCTGTGGCACATCTATCTGCCTAGCACAGGAGGTGTGCATGGACTGATGCATTGCAGGACCTCAGACCCTTGTTCAGATCTATGCAGCGGGTGCCAGCCTGAATTGGCTGCCAATATATTTCCTGTGACACACCAGCGCCGCACTGACTAACGGACTCAAGCTGTTGGACTTTTTTGCCCATGGGATTCAATGGCAGGTCTGGCTGTGTCGTTTCCGCAGATGCATCTTGGTTTGCTCAGGTGTCTTCCCGAGTTCTGCTGCAGACGGACATCGAGTGCCTGCCCAAGATGATGGTCTTGAGATCCTCGTGGGATGTATGCCGTGCACGCATCCAGGTGCCACGCCGTCCTTTTTGAATCCTTGGTTCCAAAGACGAGCCACAAAGTCGGACGGAGGAGGCCTTCTGCGTCCCTGAAATGGGCGAAGCTTCCCTGTAACAGTTCGAAGGCCTGGCCCCGATGTGACGCCCGTGGGCCGCCGCCTTAGACTTCGGAGGCTGGCAGGGCAGGGTCTCTTCACTACCGAGCTCCAAGGCAGACAAAGTTCCTGGGACATCCATGTGGAAGCCGCGATGCAGATCGAGTCGAATCGTACCTTCTTATTGTAGAATGTTGCCGGCCTCCTGGGGTGGGAAGGGACAGAGAAACAGCCCCGCTAATTGGCAGGTACAAGCATTTCGGGCTTGAACTCCGAGCTGAAGACACCCTCAGGGATCTTAACGCCAACGCAGTTCGGGCCTCAGTGACACTTCCGCCCTTTTGTGGTCCCAAGGCTCCTCGATGCGTATCGAGCCAGGCCGGTGGAGCACACCATGCGACGAAGACTAGCGCTGGTGCCCTGAAGTCTGTTAGAAGTTAGGACCCGCGACCGTCGTGGAAGTGCTGCAGATACTCCCACACGGGCCCGATCATGTGAACAGGTACTGACTCAGCGGACCCATCATCCGTCTGCATCGTCCAGCCTGCCACTCTGTGATCACAGTCGCTGACCCACCTAGCATCTCTCACTGCAATCTCAACTGCCAGGATTGTCAGCCCCACCAAGCACAGCCAAGCTTCGCGCTGCATGACTCTCAGCTATTCAGTTTTGAGGCCTCGCTGACAATGGGTCCCTCACAGAACCGCGCCGAGGTCATGCCAGCCCCGTTGGCATGCTTGGTTCGTAGCTAAGCCTGCCAAGCTTCGGGGACAGCTTGGTGACAGCTAGAAGGCCTGCAGCCACGCTGGCTTCAGTGGGCAGTTCCTTAGGGAATTGACACTTTTGTCCTGAGCACCATGGTGGGCATCGAATGCCAAGGTCTCTCCGACGGAGTGCCTCAACTTTGTCCAGCACTCTCCCGGCTTTTGCCCATCACCGATGCCTGATGTGCCAGAGCTCCCGGAGCTGCCTCAGCCTTAGATTCCAAACCTGAGAACAGACTCCGGGTTCTGTGTTGGTGGACGTGCTGGATGATGATAATATGATAAGGCACGGTCCATGGGTTAACCCTGTAAAATCTTGACCTTATCGTGGACATCATCGCTGCCATGCATGGTTCCTCAGTCCTGGTGCCCAAGACGTCACATCCACGGTTTAGGGTTTGGGGGTTGAGAGTGCCGGGTTCCTACCCCCCAAACTTCCTGCGTTCGTGACCGAGGATGGAGCTGGAACGAAGTGGCTCTTCCACATACCAAGACTTCGACAGCATGCTGAGGCCGAGCCGCATTCCAGGACCCTGCCACCAGTCGTGTGAGAGTGTCAAAGACATGTCATCTCGATTTGCCGGTCGGATACTTGCCTGTCTCAGCCACTTTCACTAGGCTTCGGACGAACGGGCAGCGCTTTCAACGTCAAGAAGTATGCATGCCAAAAGTACATGTGGTATCCCCCAAACCCACCCTGGTAAAGTTCCGGCAACCCACAGTAGCAGCATTTTGCTATGTAGATGCGACAGAGAGAGAGGTGTATACATGCATAGATGCATATACATTACATATATACATCTATGTATATATATATATATATATGTGTAAATATATAAAAAACAATGTAAGAAATATACAAAGTGTGCGATATATGATATGGGTATATATGTACACACACACACACAACTCCTGATCCACACAGTCTGAACCGTAGACCATAGCAGCTCGTACAGCCTTCGTCTGAGTAGATGCAGGCAGCGCAGCTCCGGCCGCGGCGGCCGTTGCCTCGGGTTGCAGGGGAGGGTTTAGGATCTAGGATTTAGGGTTTAGGGTTAAGAATCCATATAGCCTTTCAGGTATTTCCGCATGATGGTTCTACGACAGTATTGCAGAAGTATGAATTTAGAAGTCTTATAGTACGACTACCGTACAAACATAGCCTTTTGAGTGGAGACTTGGAGAAGGAAGCCAAAAGCACGGCAACCAGGCGGTAAATCCGAAATCCTGAAGTCCCAAACCCCTTCAAGCCCTAAACCGCCTTGAGGCCCTAAACCCTAACACCCCAAACAAAACCCTAAACCCTAAACCTAAACCCTAAACCCTAGCACCCGAAACCCCAAACCCCACACCCTAAGTTCCGGAGGCCCGGCCTTGACCGTGGCCTTCCGAGACTGCGGCTGGAGCGGAGAAAGCGAGCCCCTCTCGCCGGGGGCTCGGAGTTTTTGGCTTCTGGGCTCCAACTCCTGGGGGTATAATCCGTATGATCGTAGTATAATGAGCCGATAAGAATACTCCTGGACCCATACTATACGACTGCTATACGTACTATAGCCATACCAGTGTAAAACTGCCTTCTCTTTTACTTGCACTATTTTCATGGTATAATACTACAAGTTTAACCCTCGGCTTTCTGCCGAGCCCGAGGCCACAGACGACCGAGGGTGCTTTGGCAGACAGCCGCGGCCTCATCGTACAGGGTTTAGGGTTTTAGGTTTTGGGTAGAGCTCCGGGTTCAAAAAAGGGTATGCTTATAGAGTTTTTGGAGGATTCGCATTAGAGTCTTTCTAGAGTGCTGTTGGAGTAGCATTAGAGCATCGTCAGAGTTTTCAATCGCAGTATCAGTATAGTTTAGTGCAGATTTCAAAAAGGCTTACGGACTCAGGGAATTTCAGGGTTGCAGCATGTTTTTGTGCAGATGCGTCTCGACGCAGAGGCAAAGCTTGCGCTCTATGCCATAAAAACGTTATGTATGTACACCCACAGAGCCCTGTACGCCCAAGCACCTGAGCCCCGATCCTTGAAGCCCCGGCGCCCTGCAAACCCTGACGGCTTCCCTTGCGCAAACCATTGTACCCTAAACTACGGAGCTGACTTATGTCCCGTGTGAAAATACCAGCTGGCCTCTTTTCAAGCCCCCCACATATGTAGAGTCCCTTGCAGTTGCCCGCCACAATAGAGCCCCTTGTAGAGAGAGCGAGAGAGAGAGAGAGAGATACATATATATATATATATGTATATGTATGTATGTATATATATATATATATGTAGCACCTTTTCTTTTCGAACCGAGCCTCGGAATACTACATCGCTCGGAGGTGGTGCGGAGGAGCCGCCGAGGAGGCGAAGGGCCAAAAGCCGCTGCCGCTGCTGCCAGCGGCTGCTGCCCTTGTGCCTCAGCTATCCTAGTTGTCCTAGTCGTCGACTCGTCGTCGTCGTCGTCGTCGTCGTCGTCGTCGTCGTCGTCGTAGTAGTTATCGTAGTTCTTCGGAACGGTGGTAAGGAGTAAGATTTCTGAAGAGGCAACAAAATGGTTGTGTGTTATACAACGCCGAGCCTTAGGGCTCGCTCAAGCATCCGACGCCTGGTGGATTGGAGAATGCTGCTGCTACTGCTACTGCTTCTACCACTGCTAGTATTACAACCGCTGCTACTACTACTGCTACCGTTGCTACTGCTGCTACTACTGCTACCACTGCTACCATGCTTCTACTGCTACTACTGCTGCTACTACTGCTACTCCCCTGACGATGACGACAGCGCTACCTCCAGTATGAACTAGTGTGAAGTTCCACGGGCTCAACTGCAGCGGTAGTTATTGGGACGGCTTCTGGCGCCGCTGTTGTGACAACGACTGCTGCAACCAGCAGCCTGCAGAGCGAGGAGTACGACGAGGACGACCACGACGATGATGGCGGCACGCGGCGGCGACCACAAGCGTTTAGTCTTTTGTTTCCGCTGCGACGACGACAGCCTTGCCTTCTATCATGGCAGTGGGGACAGCAGCGGTTGTTCTGACGACGACGGCGGTCTCTTGAACACACACTGCTGTGCGAATTCCATTCTCTCTTTCGGGCGAGCTCTTGCTGTGTGGGGCACGACCTCAGTGTGTCCTTGATTTTTGCACAGACTGTAGTCATTCCATCGGTCGCTTCCGTCGTGATTTCGGGGGCGCGTCTGTCTTCGCCCCCAGCGTCTGATTCTCTCCCATGCAGACCAATCTTCCTGGTTTGAGCAGGAGCTAGGTCCAAAGCCTGCACCTGTGTCTCGTGAACGATTCCGCATAAGGTTCCAGCAGACATGGTTGTCCTTGATGCCATGGATCTCACGGCGAACGAAGCTGTGTTTCGGCCGGCGTTCGATTGCCCGGTGGTTTCATAGCTTCTTTCGTTTCGATCCTCATCACGCGTGGGGCACTGAGGATCTAGTGGGCTGAAGAGGTGAATGGTGGGAGTCTCAGGTGGGTAGTTCTCTAAATTAGGGTGCCTTTTGGGGTCCTTGTTGTAAGGGTGCCGTACTATACTGGGGACCCAAAAAAGGACCGTAATTTAGAGAACTACCCAGGTACTGACGGGAGAATCTCTGGAAGTCAGCAAATCCGTTGAGCTGAAGGACTGGGTGTTTCTCTGCTAGCTCTGTGCAACCCCTCATGCTGTGACACAGAAAGGGGAGGAAAAGTGAGGTCCTCAACGAACTGCTACGATTCAAGACTATTACCTGACAGCACAAGGCGAAAGTGATGATCGTATTTACCGGAGCTTGCGAGGCATGTGTCGAGCTTATGTTGATCAGTTCTCTCTCCAGCGGCTTTCAGTTTGACCTGACACGCTTTCTCGTGCAGGTGGCCCAAGCCTGTCAGGCGGTGAGGTGTAGCTAGTTTGCACTGCTCGCCATGAACCTGCTGCTTAACCTCCGCCGCTTGTTGGGCACGACCGAAGAGAAAGTATCGGAGCCGGCTCCTCGATCAAGTTACTGTTTAGGGTTTAGGGTTTAGGGTTTAGGGTTGAGGGTTTAGGGGTTTAGGGTTTAGGGTTTAGGGTAAGAGCCTGATTGTTTTCGAGAGGCAGAGGTATCCTGCGTCGTGTGAAGATGTTGTTTTACCATGAAGAAGGAATATCGGGGCCTCAATCATTACCAATATTCTTGCTGAGGGTTCCTTCATCTATGTATTACGGCAGAATCTGATACCCCAAAACATCCCAAAACCTTCTTCCAATCATTAAGGCACCATCTTTGCAGCGCCGTGAGTGAAGTTTGATTCTCTTGAGGGTGCTCCATTTAACCAGACACCTTTAGGGTTCAGGGTCTAGGGCACCAGATGCAGCATGGCATGGTGAGGATGCTCAATCTGCTTCTTGACATGATCCTGCAAAGAAGCAAATCGTAGGGTTTAGGGTTTACCTGAACCCTAAGCAATATAGGGGCCTTACTAATTAGAATAGGGTTTTGGGGACGGTTATACTCTAATTATGCTACGGACCCCCCCCCAAAAAAAAAATAGTATAGGTAATTATTAAGGCCCGTATATTAACCCCTACGTTGCTAGGGTTCCTTTTTCTGTTTTCAGGGTGCAGGTGGTGGATCAGACCCGAAGCCTTAAAGCCTAAACCCTAAACCCCGAAGCCTTAAACTCAAGGTGCCTTCCCTCGCAACGGACTGCCATGGCATTGAGGACACTGACGAGGCCAGGAATTCTGCAGTCTGAGTAGTCGGGGGTTTTCTTCAAGCCCCACCTGTCGTCTCCATTTCGGGGATACCTTATACATTTCTTAATATATCATTGGTTAAACCAAAAGAAGGAACTAGAATGGAGACTATAGGTAAACCCTAAACCCAGGGGGCGAGAGAAAAGAGGGTTCAAGCAAACAAACATTGGGCTTAGGATTTAGCTTTAAAGCCCGGCCCGAAGGTGCCCGCAACGGTCTGCCATGGCTTTGAGNNTAAGGGTTCCCTGGATCTTCTAAGGGTTCCCTGGATCCTTTAAGGGTTCCTTTTAGGGTTAAGGGATCTACAGGGGGCTGATGATGGTTCTATCGCGTTCGTAGTCTTCGGTTAATGCTGTCACAGAAGCTATGGGTTCAGGAGTTCAGGAGTTTAGGGCTTAGGCCCCTAAGCCCTTAACCCAAAGC